TTGGTTTGTCGCATATATCTTTATCAAAGTGCAAAAGTTGATCTTGCTAGGAATAAAAATGTATTTTTAACAAATTTTTAACTGCGACCACTTTTATGTGCGAATCGCCGAAATGAAATGGTATGTAGAAAATAGGTGTACTTTGAGGGGGTGTGTGAGGCTGAAAGTTGTTTTTATCACAAAATAACTTATGAACTTCTCTTAGTTGGAGATTTAGCTGTAACTTGACATCAAAACATCTAAGTTTCAAGACAGTCGATTTTTGTATTTTTGTCCACCTTCGCGGCACTGTGCGGCGCTCGGTCATTGCTTGGCATTTGTCTTCTACTTTCGCGCTGGAAGTCAGCAAAGGCCGGTTTGCTAAACTACCTTTTTAGTTTTATTTTTATATTTGGAATTTATGCCGCCACTTTGATCAATTTATTACAGTTCATTGACAATACACATTTTGTGATCACAACAATGCAGCCAGCAGCGGAGCTGATAGTGAACCGTCGCCTCTGGCGCTTTGGAATTCAAATTGATTGGCCCCTTTCTTAAAAGACTCCCGAACAAGTCTTATACCTAATTTCTGGGCTTTCATATAAATTAATCTATTGAAGTGAATCGAAATGGCGCGACAGCAACATCTGCCGTAAACTTGCCTTTGGCAGTCTAAATAAATATACATATTTTACGTGTCATCCATTGTCTGAGCGGTGAAAGTTTTACCACAGCTCTTCGTTTATTTAATTAAGTTGTTTATGTTGATGAATGTAGCAAAATGTGAGCGTACAAATCTACGTTTTGAAGCATTAACCGCAGTAAAGAGGCTAAGAGTGGATAATTGTAGATAAGTACTCTTACAGAGTACTCGAATATGGTTGTATATATTTCTATTCCTAGAAAGTGTTAAAGCTTTCTTGTATCTTTAAGCGAAACAGCAGCAGCCGCACTAATACTTTAAGCTCATGTCAAGTTGTCTTCGCTGACAATTTCTTAAATAATTTGCAACTTTCAACACATTTAAGTGCGATCAAGAGGGTGGCATCTTTAAGTGGGCCAACGTAAATGGATTGAGGTTAACACCTTCAAAACAGCACTGGTCTGGTTCACTAGAAAAGGCACAAGATCCCGCTTTTTTTCTTAGATTTAAAGTACTTCTTTGGATTTCTCATCAGGAGCAAAATACGTAAATGTTATTAAAGACCGAATTGCAAAATTAATGTGGACGAGATCTGTTAAAAGGCTTTTAGACTGGCTCTTGTGCTTTGTGATCCATGTCTCGATATATAGGGGCCGCAGTTTAACACGATTTTCAACTTACAACCACTGTAAAATATATTTAATGGTGTGGCCGCAAAGGGTAATAGTAAATGAATTATGATGAGACTGGCCGCCGCACAGTGGTCTGAAATCAAAATCTTAAGCGATATATGCAAGAAGACTAAAAAGAAAGTTTTTTTCCCATATTATCAAATGATGCGCAATATAATAAATTTGTATATCCGTAATATATCATTTTCGGCTATGAAACTCGTCCTTTCAGACCGACTACCCAAGACGAAATCCAGTGTCCATGCGGAAGCTTGTCCTTTCCGACCGAACGCAGCCTACTGGATTGTAATTACTTAAATACAGAAAAGCGAAGGCGAAACTAGTCCTTTCCACCCGCCCAGGCAGTGCGGCTCTGGAACTCATTTTTTCAGAACGCCTGTCCAGCACGATTTTCAGCGATCTTTCTGCTCGGAATCTTGTCCATTCCGACAGCCGCATAAACTGCAATAAACATATGCATGTATATAATAATAAATTTCTAAGCATTGTCGCAGAAATTTTAAATCTAATGGTAGTTTCTACGATTCGAAAACTTATTGTTAGTTTCGAAAGAAAAATTCAATAAATACAATAAATATACAAAAAAAAAACTATAAATATTTGATTATTTAAATTAAATTATTTTTAATGTAAGCTGATGAGATTTAGAAGGCTCTTGTCGAGAAATGCATTTCTGTTTCTACATAGAAATAAGTAGGTATAGACTAACTTATTTAAAAAAAAAAACTTAAATATGAATAAATATTTCCATCACTAATTTCCATGTTTGCTTTCTTTCTACTCTCTCTCTCTCTCTCCCATTCACAGCCGAATTCCCCGAAGAGGACACTGACATGCTTATGGAACCGAATGACTTCACACCAGTCACCGTTCTTCGTTCGCAAGAGCAGCAATTCCACGTGCCGCCCACCTACCATTTCCGCTCCATCCCACCACATTCCAACCCACATGTAATCGCACGTGCCGATGTGCACCCCGCTGCACCGCAACCCTCCGCTTCCATCGACTCACACACACAGGCGGCGCAAAATTACTATCCTCCGTTCTTTCGTGAAGCGCCACCACTAGGCCATTCGCGTCCCTACTTCCCAATACCCGATAGTCCAGCCATACCAAAATTTGCCGCGCCACATCCCGAACAAGTGCCACTGGGTCCAACGCAACGCAGCTTCGACCCGGCCATATTGGGTTCGGGTGATTTTGGCGTACTGCGTGGCGGCACTTTCTATCCCGAAGAGGAAATGTCCTACCACACCGATGAGAATAGTGATTTCAATCAATACTATGGCGATCCAAATGGACATGGACGGCCGTCCAATGAGGAGTTCGTACAAAAGTACACCTATCCAGAGGAACAGTTTGCCGATTTCCGCGATTTTGCTGACATAAATACGCCCGCCGATTCAGCTTTCTCGCAATTTGTTGTTGTATATGCAGCTAAAAATTCAACTAAACCCAGCACGCATCCACGTCCGAAGAACATCTTTGAACAATTGGAATTGTTCGATCGCGAGAAAGAGCAAGAAGAGAAGAAGAGGCGAGCGAGCAAATCGAAATCGAAATTGTCCAAAACGAAATTGCAAAAGAAATACAAGAAGAAGACAAGTCCGAAGGATGTGGACTATGAACCGCTGTTGGCATTAAGTTAAGCACTTAGAGGTAGAGAAGGTTAAGCAAATTGTAGCATATGAAAAAATTATTTATAGAGCGGAAGTGAAAGATTGGATTCGAGGGTGAAAATTTGAAAGCAATTTTGCAGTGACATAAAGAAGCGCTTTCACAGAAATATTTTGCAACAACCTGTTAGGTTGGCATAGATACTGCTAAGATTTCAACCAAGAATTCGCCTGAAATCGGGCTGAATATAAAATAACTTTCAAAAATATAAACTGTACAAGTTCTGAGGTAATTTTTCAGGCTAACGTAATATTTAGGAATTTTGCGGTAAAATAGCTATAGCACTGTTCACTTTTTAGTTATCCACTGCCGACTAGAGTACACACTTCGATAGCATTTCTTATATAATTCATACTTTTATACTCAAAACCTTTTCAGTATAGACAAGCTCAAATTTTAGTTTTAGAATACGGCCTGCATTTACCATTTAAGTTTCTTTATGCAGTGATTATTTCTTGCAAGCTCTCATTTCTTCTTTGACACATCTTACTAAGGAAATCTAATTTTTAGCATAATGTTTCATTAAAAATTTTTTAAAAATGTCACAACAGAAATTTCATTTATCGTTAGCTTAAATTCGCTACAAAAAAAGGAATAAACTTTTTTTTAAATCAGATTAGAAAAGTATGTACATTAGGATGGCGCAAAAAAGTAAGGTCGGAATTTTAAAGCACTCATACCCTAGGATTTTTCTATACCGGTAACAGTATACCCCAATTTTTTTATTTTGCAATCAAACAAATATTTAAAGGTCGCAAAAAATAAATAAAAGCTACTTTTCGTAGAATTTTTTTTCGATCGCGAAACTCCAGTTCTCTACAGGAGACTTTCCGCAATAATACCCAATTGCTTATTTAGCCATTAAAAAAACAGGCGTATACTTTTCTCTGGTATAGAGTAATCCTAGGGTGTGAGTGCATAAAAATTCCGACTTTACTTTTTGACTTGCATTTTTTTTTTGACCACCCTAATGTGCATTTTTTTTTTTTTTGACCACCCTCTCTGACTATCAGCATCGCACATTCGTTCATTTCATCCAAAAAGTTAAGTTAAGCAGTTAAGTTAAAGAAAGGCGCCACTTCCAAACATTCGTGCTGGCTGGACTTTGTTTTGGTTTATTGGCAATTATTTTTTTATGTACTTAATTTCCACTTAAATAGTTGTAAGCATACCAATTTATGACGGTAAACAATTTTCTTGTTTGTTTAGTTGCAAAAGTTTATTAGTTTTTCATTCTGTAAATTTTAGCGATTTTCACATTTAAACAAATAGTTTTGATTTTAAGCAAAAATGTTATTATCTGTATTTAGTATTTGAGATTATGTTTACTTATTGTTTTTTATAGAAAATAAAAATATTTAATAAAAAAATTGCAAAATTGGTTTAAATTAAGGAATTTGATTAAAGTTTCGTTTAGATATTTTCTTAACACTTTTAATACTTTTTTTTCACTTTTTTAAGTGACAAGTTATTAAGTGTTATTTTGGTAAAAAATAAAAAAAAAATGTTGTGGCAACACTGTTCATTATGCAAACCATGAAGATTAAAGTGACCCGCAAACAAAAAAAAATCAGCCAATTTGGCACTAAATATTTTTAATTTTGTAATGACGTGTATGCTTGAAAATTTTACTTGACTACCGGTTTACTTCGCTAGCCTCTTTTTCGACCTATCATCTTCTTTCTTACATATATGTTGTTGCTTTAATTAATCAACTTTCAAAAGACAATCAAACAGTTGACCCATTGTCATACATATAGACATAATACGGTTACTTAAGTGTTGCTAAATAACATCTAACTGCGCTAACTAAATCAAGATTGTAAAAGCTTAATTAATTTGATATCTTCACAACACAATCTTGCACGCTTTGTCACTGAGGTGGTCATGATTGCCAGCGATTGGCAAATACATGCATTCACCGTTGAGCTGAGCTGAGCTACAAAACACACTGAAGGTGTTAAATATTGTAGTTTAATTAATTGCACATAAAATCTGATTGAATTGAATGAGTGACCGAACAAGACGAAAACAATAAAAAAAAAGTCGATTAAGAAAAAATAAAAAAAAACATATAAAATCAAATAAATCCGCTAAAATTGTAAAAATTTGAGCGAACATTTGCACAGACAAGAGACAAGTGAATGTGTCGCATGTCGAACAGCTGCTCCAAAATCTAACACGCTACAAGCGGCGACAAAATTTAGAAATACATATGTATGTATGTATGGTGATATGTACATATGTATGTAGAACAAAAAATTTTTATTTGCATGTATTGCATGTCTAATGCCTTGTAATGCCAAACACATGCGCGCAGGAAAAGACAAATTATAATAAAAACTTTTATTGTTCCAAGACTAAATCAGCGCCAGCCAGCCAACCAGCCAACCAACCAGATAATGACCATGGCCAAGCGTACAATTTTGTCTGCCGGAGTTGGACAGCTGTGACCCGTTAAATTGACGACTTGTTCCGCCTAGAAGTGTGTAGAGCGCGCGCCGCGTATTTTAGCGCCTCAGGCGGTAAGTGAAGGCTATAGAAGGCCGGTCACTCAGTTCGCAGACAATCAAGAACATTTGTTGCGTTTGCGAAAAACGTAAATGGACATACAGTGGCGGTCAAAAATGTATGAATGGTGTTTCGTTTTTAATATTTTCAATGTTTTTCAAGCTAAAATTTTTTTGATATTTTCTTTTTATAAAAATATGGTGCAAGCTTTAACAAAAACTATATAAAACACACTTTCAAATTTTGTGCAGAACTTAAAAATATTCCACAATTTTGTATCTAAATTTCGAGCTTTTTAACCAGAATTTTTAGAAATTTTTTGGGGTATGCAGTTAACAAGCTTATAAAATTCAAAAACAAACAAGTGCAAGTCTTGAGCGGCTCAAAAATCGCATTGATTTTTAATATATTTTGTTTTTTTTTTGTTGACGGCGCTTTGCACTTATTTCCATATAAACATGAATTGCTTGAGGAAGAATATGCGCAAGACCGTTTGCGAAACAAATAAAAAAGTCAACGCCAATTTTACTAAATTTCGCTATTTATATGAAAAAAAACGCAACATTCTAAATATTAAAAACTAAACACCATTTTTTTTTTGACCGCCACTGTAAATACTTGCTAATATATATGTATGTAAATAGTTGTTTGCTGGCACATTACGCGCTGTTAAGTACAATTTAGTTTAACTTGTCAATAATTAAGAATAAAAGACGATGGGCGTGTTTGTGGCGCGTAAGTCAATTCTTGTAGCTTTCACTATAAATAAATAATGTGAAAATTGGCAGGTACGTGCACTACTGCATACACATCTACATACATACAACTTTATATCTACCTATGTTCTTTAATAATTAAAACGATTTTTAATTACTATTTCAATGCATATATGTAATTTGCCGCAGGACAGCCAGGCGTTTACAATTAAATATATATGTAAATATATTTTTTATTTTATTTTTTTTTAATTCTCATAAACTGTCCATATTACGGTATTGTGATTGATTTATCGCCACTAAAATCGCGCATTAGTTAAATATGTATGTATGCCATGCGGGTCCATGTATGTATGTATGTAAGCTCCTACAATGTCTATCAAGTACGCGTATACTCGGACAACTGTGTAATTACCTCTATCCAAGTGCTAATCCCGCGCATATCTGGACATTTTTGTAGGTGTGACAATCTCATCGTTTGAATTATTCTCTACATGGACATTTTATTGCACTCAATTGATATGTATGTTGACATAAGGCAACAAATTAATGTCACCTATCACCGTTTATGGTTGGGTGTTAACCAAGCAACCCACTCGTGGGTGCGCATGCGCATTGCATAGCAGCCTACATGCACCAAATTCTTGCATTTTGATTGCACACTAACGAGCATGACTACCAGGTACAAGATTAATTAAATTATAATTTTGATGAAATGAACTTTATGTTCTTAAGCTGGTAATTTGATTTTTTTATTGCCCACCTCTGCATTTTGCTTAATCATTTTAAGATATAATCTACATAAAAAGTTGTCTGATATTGTCATATCGCACTTAACAGCTGCAGTATGTTGGCGCTGTGGTCTGTGTGGGAGGTAGTATACTTGTGATTAGTTGACTACGCGGAAATACAGAGAAAAAATAATGCTTATTTGCTTTGAAAGACTACGGCATTTACGGTGTTTTAGAAGCTGAAATCCACTGAAATTACTAGGTAAACGAAATAAGTATCTTCCCATGCTTGCTCTTTATTGAAATAAGATGTAAATAGAGTTGGTAATTCCTCTTTCAATTTTTGGGTTCGTCTTAATATTGCTAGGTACATAAACTTAAGGGATCTTCAAAAAACCACCTCCGAACGTCTGAGCGTTTTTGTAAGCAACTTTTGAATGGCAAACTTTACTCAAAGATTGGTGGTTGCATTCCGAGATACTTAGTTGGCTTGAATCGTTTGATTACCTAAAGGAATAAGATATTGCTGGCTTTTGTGTGTATTATCCTTCTTACTTAAGAATCCAACCATGAATGTCTTGCTTTTAAATGCGCAGGACACCTATTGCCAACTCTAGGCAAATAGGGAACACGTCTGACGTCACAAAATTCCTCCAATTTGAAGGAGAGTTGACCAGAAGTCAACCGCATCAAGAACGAGGTGACTTCATAAACTTCCTCATATAAAATCTCGGTTATTTTTAACGCCAAAGATAGCAAGGCCGCGCACATGAATACGAGAGAACTGATGCATGTCAGCCGCTTTTATTTGAAATCCCTAGACAGTCACTCCACCGGACCTAAATGCGGTCGGCTTAGGACTAAAGAATAAAGTGAAATTTTTAAGTGTAGCTCTGTATAAGAAGTTGAGTCGTGAGAAGACAAAGCTAAATTGTATCAGGAAGCATCTATGGCTCTTTATTCGCGCAAGAGACTAATAGGTAAAATGTCGTTTGAATCCAAGCATTTGTGGATGGCTTTTCACAGCGATTGTTCGACCAGTTTACCTATATGTCGATGGCACTGGGCTACTTCATCGCACCTGGTCGGTTGTCGTCAATCTATCCTATCTTAGAGGTAATACGAAAGGCTATCTGAACTCGACGAACAATCGTTACTTTGCTCGTTTAATACTAGCACTGATCCCGGACTTACAGATTTTCGAATCTTTACTCATGGCTGCAAAACTGGCTGTGGTTACAATCTCGGGTCTTTGTCGATGATAATGAGGATAAGCTTCACTTTTCTCTTCTCAAGATCTGGGGCTACGTGGCGGAAAGTAGGTGGAAGGGAAGGAGGTTACGTGTCGGCAGTGACAGCCAAGTTGCACTTAAGGCATTAGCGAGCCCTCTGACTACTTCCAAACTAGTTCAGCGATGCAAATCTCGACTAAATTATGTTGGTTAACTAAACGAGCTTGCTTTGCTCTGGATGCTAGTTAACTTGGGAGTACCTGGTAATGAGACATCTGACCATCCTCGGTCCGCAACCATTTGTAGCGCTCCGACCTTCGGCCATCGATCAGAAACTGGGTGAATACTTCGTGTAAAATTAGAATAGGTCATCCATTTGAGGTAATATTTCGCATAGCGTTCAAGATAAGTTAAATTGACGGCTACTGACCAATTGAGATAATCTATCCCATTGCCACCGATTTAATTATTGCTTGGTGGCCTAGCCTGGAAGGAATCAGAATAACTCTAAATGACGCTTTGAATTTTCGTCCAAACAAATCAGCATCTAGTCCCATTTGGGCGGGGGATTTATGTAACGACCAAGCACTTTTTTAAGGAAACGACAGAAAGCATTGGTGTGCCTTTGCAAATTGCACGTAGCTTTTTAAGGAACGCGTACGCCTGTTCCCTAGGAAATGAAAGATGGATGCAGAGCTCGAATTGTCAGAGCCCTAGCTAACCATTTCCATGTCCTACACTGTCCAG